GTTAAGTCATTTTCAGGAAAAAACAGAAACACTTATTAGTTTTAAAACAGATGTGTAATTGCAGTATGAACTTGAATTCCTAAAAGTGCTGTATCACTATGACCCTGACAGAGAATAATGATTAAACATGCATAATTTTTTTAGACAGGCTGTTAGCCCCATTGAAGTCCATGAAACATGGCTATTAAAAGTGCTGTATGTGTCTTTCAGACAGAAAGACTTGAAAGAATTATTGAAATATGACTTACAGTCTCAAGAAGAACAGTAAAGATGAGTCTTCTATTTAAAATACATACATATATTTGACTAGGTAATGTTGAAAGAGCCAAATGATTATTGTGACAAATTTACAACTTTATTCCATATACTTTCACAACGTGCTCCTTTAAGGCTATTGAAGGAGATCGGATGAAGTCACAGGCTCTTTCCTGAGACATTGGCCTTTGGCGTTTGTAGAGGTGTTATATAGCACTTATAAGCCTTCACTGTCAACTGTGAATGTGTTTATTCCGCTTTTCATTTTAATTTTAAAGTTATGAAAGGTGAGACTTTGAAAATTATGTTATCCTCTTGATGACTGAAGAGGGTATTGAACATGATAATAATCCAAGTCTGACTGAAGATCAGGAAAGTTCTAAATATAACATGAAGCCAGATTTTATGTAAGTGATAAGGTTAAATATTTTTAGGAATATTTGTAAAATTGTGGAATTGCTATTTATTAAACCATCTTCCTTTTTTAATCTGAAAATCAATTAACTATTTCATTGTCTCTTTACAGGTACATAAAGTTTTTATTGAAACTATCCAATAATAAATTTTCTTTAAGTAACAGATGATTTGAAAATTTATTTTGGAAAATCACTAAAAATGTATGCCTTTTTTAGACTGTGTTGAAATACGTTTGGGATGATATTTAATTCATCATAGTAAAAAAAAAAAAAAAAACCTCAATTTTTAGAGTAGTAAAAGCTGACTTTTGTGAGTTTTTTACTCATATTTTGGCATGAATGCCCTCCTTAATACTAGTATCTTAATTTCTATGTTATCAGTTACTGAACAAAAGCACTTAAGAGTCTTGCTTCACTCACTTGTGTGATAAAATGGCTAATTTAGGGTAAAGCTGGATAGTCTCTGAGATGGATTTTTGTCGATTTTGTCCTTTGTTCTCCACGTTCCAAGACAAAAGTTTGAGTAACAAGAAAAGTGACAAGTCTCCAGAACAAGATGGTATTCCCCCAGTAATCCTAAAGGAACTCCAAGGAACTTTGCAGTAGCTAAGCTCCTAATTGTGGTGTATAATCTCTCAATTAAAGGTGCCTTATCACCTGAGGCCTGGAAAATTGCAAACGTGGCACTAGTTTTTCTGAATTCTTGGGGAGATCTTGGGTACTGCAGCCCATAGGTCCGCTGTCTGTATCAAGCAGATTATTAGAAAGTGTAATAAAGAGTAGATCATGCAAGCAAACTGGATATAATGGGGAAGAATCAACATGGCTTTTGTAAGGGAAGGTTGTGCCCCAGACGTCTAGCATGATTCATTTGAGGTGCCCACAAGAAAGTGATAAAAATAATAAAAGTGTTGATGCTGATATTTCTATCTGTATTTCTATAGGCTTTTGGTAAGATCGCTCACCAAAAGCTATTAAGGAAACTAAAAAGCTATAGGGCAGGCAAGAAGGTCTTTACAGGGATAAAAACTGAGTCAAAAAAGATGAAATAAAGTAAATGACCTGTTCTCACAGTGCAGGCAGTCACCTTTCAAGTTCCACATCATCTGTGGTGGGGACCAGGTTATTTCTCAAATTCATGAGTGACCTGATAAAACAGATGAGCTATGGTATGACCAAGTGCTGTTGATACTCAGTTACTCAGGTTAGTAGCACTGAGTGTCAGCTGTGGATAAAAATAAAATGACAGGATAAATTAAATACAGATAAAAGTAATGATGTACATGAGAGAGAACACTCCTCACTTCACAAAGATTATCCCTCAGGATTAGTATCTTGGAATTATGGCAGGAAGTTCCGTGCAAACCTTAACTCAATATTCAGTACCAGTGAAAAAAAGAAAATGGAAGTATAAGCATAATGGGGAAAAGAATGCAGAACAAAATAGTGTCATTGTATTGTATAAACGTGTAGTGCTTCATGAATGCTATGCACAACTCTAGTCATACCGTCCCAAAAAGATATAATACATTTGGAAATGATTCAGAGAAGGATAACAAGAAAGGTATGGAGTGGCTTCTGTAAACAGAAATAAGTCAGTTAGGAATCTAGTTATAGAACTGCCTGAGGGATGTTATATTTGGGATCTTTTAAGTTGTCTGTCGCAAGGAGAAGATGAAAGGGAATTAATTTATTGTTTTTTCTAGTACAAAATGAGAGGTAGCAATGTGATCTGAGAGCACTGCAGATTCAGAACAAAATGAAGAAGGTGATATTCATGCAATGTGTGTGTAAGCTGTTGAGCTGCTTGCCATGGGCTGCTGTAATTCTAAAAGCTCATTTAGGTTCAAGGTGAAATTGGACAAGCTCATGGAAGAGAAATGAGAGCTATTAAATACACAGGAACCATGTCTAGCTCAGGAAGTAATTGAGCTGCAAATGGTTTGGGGCCAACCTGAGGAAGTGTAATATATGCTTGCCTGGCTCTTTTGCTGTTCCGTAAGCATGCTGCAGGATGCTTAGCTTAGAAGAGCCTTTAGTCTGACTCAGGATAACTGTTCTTTTGTTCTTACATTTTTTTGTTCCAGTTATTCTACCCTTTCAGCATCTTAATAAGTGCACTGTCTGAATAGAATCATTCTGGATGAACGTTATGACTTTAGTAGAAATGGAAAGACAAATCTAGCACTTTCTAAATAAGTCTTGAAGTAGCAGTCTTCAATCTAGACAAGATGTATGAAGGAAAATGATGAAAATGGTATATTTTTCTGCTTTAGAACACTTCCATTAAGCCTTGTTCTGGAATTTACAAAATCATCATCTGAAATTTAAGGAATACACGTTGAGAATGTATTTTTTTTGCCATTCCAAAATTCAGTTGAACTGTATGCAGTATTTAAATTTAAACATCGAAAACATTTTCTTCATGATAAACTCAAAATATTTTAAAACAATAGCAGTCAGTACAACTGAGAAAGGATACTGTATATAGGCATTTTGAGAAAAGGACATGTTACAGAATGTGAAAGATAAAGTTAAATTTATGAGCAGCTCCTCTGGAAAAATACCAAAGGAAATGAACAGAAAATAGAGGATCTTCTATTTATTCTCGGTTTCCCCAAATAATGTGACTTTAGTGTGTACTGCATACTTGTGAACCATAGCATCATATGATAGAGATTTTTAAATGAAAAAAAGGTCTTAAACATTAGCTTCTAAAGGTATATGTTTATGCTTTTTCAAAAATTGAAAGATGGATTACATAGTTTTGCCAATGTCATATGATTCACGGAGCAGTATTACAATATGTTACATGGAGCAGGAGTACATTAAAGCTAGTTCAATCCTATTCACAACACCACTGTGGGAACTGCAACTCCGTAGATACTATTAGGAAGGATATAATTGGAAAACCCAGTCATAATCACCGTTTCTGCTCATGTTATGCAAGCTTTTTTTTAAACTCATTTTATATGCTTGTCTGTATTCACTTACTTCTAAAAATAGTGATAAAAAGGCAAATAGCGTACAGTGTGTTTCATAGATTGTTGATCGGTGCAGCATCGGAGTAAAGGAGTGCATAAGTACTGGTGCACATAACTCTGATTCTCTACATTCTGATTCCTGCTTGAAGCAAGAATTCCCAGGACAACAGTTTTCTTAATAAAAAACATAATGAGTGAAAGACTTTAGGCTGCAACTACTTTTTTTTTCTTTGAGGTAAAACTATTTAACTATTAAAACTCGAGGAATATTTTTGCCATTTAAAGATGTGCTTGATAACCCCTCCAGTTGTAATTATGTGACTTCAACAATTATGGTAGGCTCATATTTTCTCAGTAGTTCAGTTTTCTATAAAATGAGATTTCTCTACTATCTTCTTGGTGATCTTTTAGCCAATGGGATAGAACTATTGATATGACAATACACTGAGTATTTGCTGTAGTTAACGAACCTAGCTTTTTTGTTAAAATTAAAATGTTGAGTACAGTCTCTTTAATGTTTTGTTCTAGAGAGTACTGAATTGAATTAAGAGATGCTTTTATTCTTTCTGGTCTTCTTCTTGCTCCACCTATTATCTGCAATGCTTGAATAAATTTATTTACATGTCTGGGGGTTGTGAATTTGTCATTTATCAACAAATTTCTTAAAATCCTATATGAAAGCAGTTTATTTCATTAAAGTTTTTCCTTCTTACAGTTGTGGCATAATACAGCTGATGAGTTCATTGGGAGGATATTTTATGTTTAGGAAGGTGATTTCTAGAAAATTGAGCTAATCATAATAATTTAATGATAGACTCTTCTTGATATAGTTGAAAACTATATAGCAGAATATTTAGTCTTTTACAATTCATTTATTATTCTTTAAAGTTACTTTTATTGATGATGACTTTGAAACTTTGATTTTCAAAAACTATTCATGGAAACTGTAATTAAGTTTACTAATACCCTAGAATATTAATGTAAAAGAAAAGAAAACTACTGCAGCATTTCAAAGGCAGCATTAGAAACATTGCCTATGTAAGTCCTGTGAGAAATGCAATTTTTTATTTTAAATGCTAGTAAATAACATTTTTTTTAGCATTGTTCACTTAATGAGTGAAAACAGCCTCTGAATTACATGTGTTTTATTCCTTATGAGTAACTTGTCCCATTATGATGACTATAATCTTTTTCTTACTTGTTTTTTTACTGCTTGCCTTTCATAGGAAGTAGAGGTTGGTATACATCTTCTGTCTTTCATATTCCTGTGAGTTTTTCATGTATACATTTATTTCTTACATTGTACTAAATGTAGGTTGTTTCTTCCTTCTCCAGGATGATTATTTTCGTACATGGAGTCCGAGTAAACCATTTGATCAAGGTAAGATTCGGCTACTTATTTTTGTTTAGGGTAGGATGGCTCCTGTTTTAAAATAACAAGTGTAGAATTCTGTGAATTTGTTCCATCTCTTCCCTCTTCAAATGATTGACTTACAGGGGACCAGAAAGTCAGTTGTAGCTTAATCATAATTTTATATCTGTGATTTTTGCAACTTTTTATTGATTGGTGACAGAGACAGGGGCAATAGGAACCTCTAAAGTAGTCTAAAGTTTCCCTCGTATAGACAAGTGTATGGGGTTTGGGAGGTTTTGTTTTGCTTTGTGTATACATTAAAAAAAGTTAAGTGCCGTCTTATTTTCAGCAAGACCTTTGAAGAAAAAAAGGCATGCAATCTGATATGTCCTTTGCAGTTAAAAATAAGTCATTAAAATGTTGAAAGTTCTCTTTATATTTGGCTGATAAAACAAGATCTAGAAAACATTTTGGAAGTCTATCATTTTCAAGTGATCTTTCTTGAGGAAAAGCACAGATGGAGCTATGAGAATGGTACAGTACAACAATTTCAATCTCAGAATAATTTGAGTAAATGCAGCAAATTTTTGACATTAGCCATTTCCTCCCTAGACTTTAGAACTTAATAGTTACTGTCAATATGGTATACTTCATATATGTTGTTTCAAAGTATGTGACTACTGATGTGAAACTACTTAGAATCTTGATTTCTGAGTTACTAGCACGGAGCACTTCAGACCATTGGTGGTCTTTTCTGGTAATAATCAATGGCGCAGTCACACTGAATTTTTTAAATATATTGCGAAAATAATATGCTTAGTTATTTAATCAGCTTTCTCTATAATGGACATTGAGTTAATATCTTTTGACTTTAAGGGGAGATTTATAATAAATCTTATTTTGTTGTGGTAGTTAAAGTTTAGGGACTTGACTTTATATTGTAAGGTAACTGCAAAATAACCTTATGTGATTTTAAGGCTTCTGTAAGTATTTCGCCCATATATAATCAAATTCTAGTAGAAGTGATTGTACTGTTTCCCAGCTGTTAATATCTTACTAAAAAATTTAGTCGCAAATCTCAGGTTACATAGAGCAACTTATGAAAGGAAGCTGGATTTTGACTGTGTGTAAGTAAGAGAAAATATCATTACTGGACTCAGTCTTTGCTTCTCAGATTTTAGTTGGAGTGACAGTACTCTTCTGTGGAAATTGTCTTGGCTAATGCCACTATAGCGTGGGAAAATGAAAAACAAAAATTACTGTTGAACTGTTGACTCTTAATGTTATTTCTTCTCAATTTTGACTGGAGATTCCAACATGGGGCTGTTGGAATTGCTGAAAAAATTGCTGAAAAAACCTTGACGGTTGACATATCATCATGAAATGTTTTATTTTTAATGAATACTGATAAAGCAAACAAAAGGAGAGGGAAGAAGAAAGATAGGTTTACATTAGCAGTGATCTGTGAACTGTCATGGTTTTCCTCTGGTGTGGTGGAAATTTGTGAGCGTTACTTTAGGTCCACAGCAGCCCAGATATTTCAGAACCTGCCAATTTTGCAGACCGTACCGCTCTCCTCATTATATGCTAATGCCTTATGGAAGAGCAATTGACTGTAGTCCTCTAACTCCTCAGTGGAAAGATTCCTTTCTTTCGGTGAAGAACCCTCATCTGTGAACCAGGCTTATCACTTTGCTCCAGAATACCCTTAGCTATGCTTCCCCCCGCCCTGCTTTGGCTTCTCATAGAGGGGTGTGATATGTAAACATGTATTTGGTGTGACAGTAGGAATAGGTTATGCATTAATGACTTAATGGTGGCAAAATATCAGAAGACAGAGTTGAATGTGCTGTGAATTTTGGCCATGATTTGCTTTGTTATTGCATACCTGACAAGCTTTGTTTTTGTTTTTCCAACTACCTATCAGTTTTGCAGAAGGTACACTAAAATATTTTCCCGCTGCATATAATGAGTTTTACAAACTTAGGCTTGTTCTCTTGTTTTGTTGAGTTCTTTGGTGGCACTGGGGCTAATGTGTGTAGAATACGTTTCTGAATTTACATACAAGCCAACTATGAGAATGTTACCTGTCTTACCTTCTTTGCCTAATGCAATGTGTATCGGATAGTGAATATTTAAAAAACAATGCCTACAAAGCTCAACTTTCTATTATCATATGCTTGTAAACTGAAAATTGGCACTGAAGAGTGAAATGCATCTGTTTGACTGAGGCATGTAAACGGTTTGCCTGGGGTAGTTCTTTTATCTGCATTTTACTGTTTGATTTATAATTGAAAAACAAATGTTAGCTAGGGACACCTTCTAATAATAAGTACTCCAAAGTTTTATTTGTTTAGTATGTAAGCCGTTTTGTCTTAATTTGTCTATCTGTTATATAGAGATTATGCGGTATTTTTATCTGTCAGTAAAGGCAGATTAAAAAGTGTTTTTGTGTAAGAACCCTGCTATAGTCTTTGTCAGACAATTATCCTCAGCAGTAAATGCCTAACCTGAATTTAACAATGATACCGAACTGAGCTATATGTCAAAATATCTATTTTTTCCCAAGAATTATAGGTTTTTAGACTCTGGTCCTACAGATATTCCTTATTAATTAGATACTTGAATGTTGTTATCATTTTTTCTGAAAGTGTGAAAATAAAGTTACTGATTAGGTCCAGGACAAATACAAAAAGCTAGTAAGAAAGCTTCCCAGTAAGTGTCTTGGTCTCTGCATTGTAGGAGTGGGCTTCCTTTACTTTTGGTTATAATGGGAAATGATTGCTTGAAACATAGCAAAATACCCTTGATAGTAAAGTATAATTATAAAAAATACCACATATTTGTTTATACATTCCAGTCTTTCTTTTCAGATGGGACAAGCCATCATGTGTGATACTTTGTAGGAGTAGCCATTCACACTTTTATAGTGTGATGACCTTGCAAATGTTTGTTCCCTAGAAGTGAATGTAGTAGTCATGATTGTTACTGAAGAAATCAGGTCTCTAACAGATTCCCATATTTATCAATAAGAGATACAGCAGTGACAATCTCAGCACAATTTTTCTCATATCATTTAACGAGGTAGGAAAAAGTGAGAGGAGGTACACTACAAGATCTAACTGTAGATGCACATTCTTGTAGTCTGCATAAGAGTGGAAAGCTGGTACAGTTCCCCTCCAGTTGTGTACCACTTTACTACTAAAGTTTTAAGTATTATATAAAATAAGATTTAACTGTTAATCAGCTTTTTTCACTTAAGTAGCCATGCATATAGACTCTCGTGGTTTTTTTCATCTTTTTCGTTTGTCAGTGGGAACTATTCAAAGCAATAAATAGGAACATCATGAATGTGTGCATGTGGGATCCTGTGATCTGTTGGAGCTTGTTACAGGCCAAGCAATCTGTTAACAAATCTTTAACGGATTCCCCTTCCTTAATCATCTGTTGTTGCTGTTCTGTTTTGGGCAGCGGCTGACTCTCTCTCAAGTGAGAGCCTTCTGTTAATCGCAAAAACCTTTCTCCCAAATGAACACCTTTAAAAACTCCTAAGTGAAGGACAATTTTTTAAAATGCAGCGATAAACTTGCCGTGAAAGACTGAAATTGCTCGCTAAAGGCAATGGTTAAACTCTGACTAGGGACAGTAAAAACTCTGCATGTCTGTTGTGTGACAGTTTGTAGTAATACTGTAACAACTCTGCATGCCTTTTGTATGACAGTTTGTAATAATACTGCTGGAGATATGAGCAGTTGCTCATCTTGTAATGGGCAAACAGGCTCCTTGAGGATAGAAATAAATAATTTCTTTAATTTAACAGATCTATTATCTCCATCACTATTTCCTTTCTTTTCATTTTATTCAACAATGTTTGTTTTTTTGGAAACTTAACCTTTAAATCTATAAAAGAATTGAATAAATGAGCAATCTTTTTGGCAATAAAAATCCTGATCTTGAGCTCCATTGCACAGAAAATAATTTTTTTTATTTACTGTTGAAACAATGGATTTTATGAATTATTAATTCTTTTAGAGAAGTATTATTTCTTTGCCTATTTAAATTATAACAACTGATGAAATTGCAAATCAATACTTGAAGGTTTCAAAGTCTATATAAGAACAAAATATGAAGACTTTTGTAAGTAAACTGCATAAAGCCCAGCTGACTATGTAAGGGTAGGGCTGATGATGGCATATTTAGCTGTATATCTGTTTTCAGTTCCATAAACTGCAGTATTTCATGGGATGCCTTTATTCCTATTACATACTTACACATCTTACATAGGATTAATAGGCAGTAAAAAGAGAGCTATTCCAAAATTGTTAGTTGTTGTTTAAAAAATACTTGATCTCTGTCACCCCACTTTCTTTTTTAGTCTGTGATGTAGATATCTGGTACACACGTACCAACTTCTCAATATCATCAATAGTCATGCAGATGGGTTGTCGTTATTTTTATTTATACTTACTCTTTTATGTGTCCATACTCTGCTGGAAATCAGGAACGTACTGGGACCTTTTTGAAATTATTTTTAGCTAACAACCATACTCCTTTGTGTTTTTAAGGAACTAATGCTTCACATGTATATGATATTTATTGTTTTCCTAAGATTTCTGTGATGATTAAAATCTTTCCTAAGATTTTTATAGGTTTGCTGTATATGGACCAGTTGTCTTTACATTTTTTCAAAATATATCTTTAATCTAAACCCATATCTGAATGCTAATACATTGTTGTAAAATTGGAGAAGTCTGTGGTTCAAGCTATCAAAGAGATGTTCATCTTATAGCGAGTGTTTTAATAGTTTCTTAATTCACTCTTCTATAATACGGTATATTTTGAAAGGCATTCTTATATTAATGCGATTTAATGTGTCAAAATTGCCCAGGTAGACAGATCTGTGTAATTCTGTTGGTATTAATAGGGGCGGTTATAATGGAAACATCCAAATATTCCAGGAGATTAGGCCTTACTATGAGAACATACAGTGCTGCTTACTCTAAAGTCTGTGCTGCAAAATGGAGGTT